CAGCAGGAATTGGCTTACATTCGATTCGGGTATGTCCAGTTTTACCTGTCATAATGGTGACAACCTGATTAGTACCCAGGCTCCCCTGTACCCTCTCTACCTGTCAGGACAACATATTGGAGCTTGCTGCAGGCTCCAGAGCTATCATACTTATTCTTGCTTCACTGATGACCCACAACAAATACATGCATGTTAGCTGTCTGGACACCTAATACACAGGCACATATTCCAAGTAAGAGATCCACAAAGTAGTCATAGGGATGTTAGCCCTGGCGTGTGCAACACTGAAAACAAGAAAAAGGGACGCTTCCACATTTCTGTCCTGGAAATTTCAGACATCCATTGCCCTCTTCTGCATTCATAATAAAGGAACAGGTATGTGCTCAGCTATCAAAGACGCTAACTGCTCACAGGGGTTCTTCTATGCAGAGGAGTCAACTAGAACACCTAGTATAGTACCAGGTAACAGGAAGCCCATGACAAGTCCCCATTAAGGTCAAAAGAGAACACTTGAGGGGGGGGGGGGGGGCATTCCAGCTGCATTTCTAACATGTACAGGGAAATATTATTTCAGGTACTTATATAGCGCTGTCAATTTATGCAGCGCTTAACATATATATTGTACATTCACATCAGTCCCTAACCCTCAAGGGGTGTACAATCTAAGGTCCCTAACTCACATTCATACATACACATACTAGGGCCAATTTAGACAGGATCCAATTAACCTACCAGCATGTCTTTGGAGCGTGGGAGGAAACCGGAGTACCCGGAGGAAACCCACGCAAGCACAGGGAGAACATGCAAACTCCATGGAAAAAGAAAATCCCTATCTGCCTAGATAAAGGTGAGCCGTAATGACGGTTTGTGTTGACACCCGCAGTCCCAACTCTACAACCTTCTTGATATAAATATTATAGTAGTACATTGCTTTCTATTATACACATGTAATGGACTTATTCACCAGTCATTAACTTAAAGAGAAATACATAGGCTGCCACTAAAGCGGAACTCCGGGGAAATTAAATAAAAAACAAATGCTTTTTTTTTTTTTTGCCTAGAGGACCATTAAAAAGTACTAATATTGCACGAATCCATCATTCCTGCAGGTTTCCCCCTCTCCATGTGACTGGACCCCCAAAGCCAATTATTCGGCCCTCCATACATCATCATTACATACAACACAAGAAGTCCTGCATTGTAAGAAAAGATGAGTTTGGGAATCCCCTGAACCTGATGTTACCGGCATCCCTCCCCTTTGTTTACATGCATTGCAGGGTGGGGGAATGACCCGGTCCGCAGCTGATTGGATCAGAAAATCACATGAAGGGGCAGTTGGAATACAGAGGTGTTCGGAGGATGCCTGAGGCTCATTTCTAAGTCGAAATAAAGCTGACAGGGGGCCTGCCCACAACTTGAAGCATGGGAGACAAGAAGAGAATGCTGGCTGTCAGGGAGTGAGGGAGAAGGTACAGTAATGTGCTTTTTACTAGGCAAGAACAAGTATTTAACCCTTCCAGTGCAGAAAAATCCGTAATCAATTTAATGGCGTAAAAATGTTAGTTCACCCCATGCCTGCACATGAATCGCACAATAATGCACTGTACATTCCTGTACGATTTACATGCAGTTCTCTACGTTGCGATTTCAGCCCATTCATTTTGAATGGGCTAAAATCCCACCGAACCAAAAGTAGGGCAACCATTACTTTTAGAAACTCACCGCAACAGGATCACATGGTACTTTTGTAGCTCGCAATCTGGTGATGGCAATCGCACTGTCTGTGACCTGCCTTTGGGGTATCATTTAACGTATTATTGACACCTGCTGCAGATGGCATGTGCAGGGTGTTTTGAACGTGGTGCGGGAATCATGCATGGAACACAGGGTTCGCGCACTGTGTCCTGGTGTGAACTGGGCCTTTACGCCCTGTTCACACCAAAGCGATTTTCATGTGATTGGAGAGTTCAAAACCGCATGACAAGTCGCACCCTATTTGTGCCTATGGAACCTCTCAAATTGCATGTAAATCGCACAGGAATGTACAGTGCATTATTGTGCGATTCATTCTGATTTTGAAAAAGGTTCCTTCCTGCACTATTTTTGGCGATTTAATGTGCGACTTGGATTGATATTTGTGCTTGAAGTTGCAGAGATGGCGACAAGCTGCACATGAAATCATGCTGCATCAGCTGAAGTAGCACAATGTCAAAGCCGCATGTGTTGTGAATCAGGGCTAAAGGTAAGAGGGAACCAACCGTGTACATACTCCCCACTCAATCCCCGCTGTACTTACCTACAGTGATGTTGAGCTGTCAGCACCCCAGCAGCCAATCCTGAGGTCCAGGGGTGAGAAATCCTCACTCTTCTCTGTCATGGCACTCACCAATCACAATCCATCAGGTCCATCCTGATGACAAGGGAGAAGAGTGGGGATTTCAAATCCCTGGCCACAGGAGTGGCTGCGGGGGGCACTGACAGCTCTGCAACTCTTGGGGGTAAGTACAGCGGAAACTGGGGGGGCGTCTGGTGTCAGGTCTCCTTTACAGGTGAACACTTTAAGGAGCTCCTTCTAAACCTACTGCGGAGGACATCAAAGGAGGCCAGCAAATCCTTTGTGACAGAAATCTTTAGATCCACAACACAAACACGTATTAGTGGGTGAGCGAACACCCCGCATGTGGTTTAAATGGGCCCTCGACTCCCAATGGGCCCCGTGCACAGATTGGTTGTTTTACCATTTCTACAACACTAACATGGTACAAGCATGCAGCCAGTGAAGTCAGGACTCCAGATCTGGGTCACCAGGATGACAGCAAGGTTCCCCCATGACAGGTCCCTTTAATTCCAGCCAGTCCGGGGCTCCATGCTGGCACCATGGCAGGGCCCCTACTCCCGGATCTCCAGGCCTATGACATGCCCGCAGAGGCCCAGGTGAAGTGCCGGAGGAGCCCGGGCTGTGCGGAGGACGGAAGCCGGGCCGGGGAGGTCTTACCTGGGGCACTGCAGTCCGCACACACCTCGCCCCTCTGCACCTTCCGAGACATCCTCAGAGGAGAGGAGGGGATCACCTTCTGAGCCAGGGCGCTGCGATCAGCCGGCACCGGTGCAGAGAAAGCCGCCCGAGGGTGCTGGGTGTCCGGGGATCAGGGGAGAGGAGCTCCGTCCTCGCAGCCTCCTTCCCCTCTCCGCTCTACCGCCGGTGATGGTCCGATCCCCCCTGCTCTGGGCTCAGGATCTCTGCAGCTCACCCCACAGCGGAGTGCATCGGCTGCAGGAAACCGATCGAAGCCCAACCCATCCAACAGGAGGGGCCATATTCCAGCTTCACCCCCCGGGCTATGGGAAAAGGAAATGGGAGACAGACGCAGGAGGAGGAGGAGGAGGAGAGTAGGATGGCCGGCCCGCCCCTGACACACCGCACTCTGCATGGACAGCTCCTGTCACCTCCATCTCTGCTCCATGGCACAGTGCTGGCCTGCCTGTCATTGAAAGGCCTCATCCACACATGTCATTACAGTCCTCGCTCCCCCTATCCTCACATCGACGTTCACATTGCGAACCCTTGTCTGTGAACCCACCCCATGCACCTATAGAGGCATCATGCCCTCCAAATCATTATATTTCTATATTAACCCCTTGCCCTCCACAGGATCTCCCCCCTTCCTGACCAGGCCATTTCTTGCTTTACAGCGCTGCATTACTTTCACAATTGCGCGGTCGTGCAGCGCTGCACCCAAATGAAATTTATGTCCTTTTTTTTTCCCATGAATTGAGCTTTCTTCTGGTGATATTTGATCGCCTCTGCATTTTTTATTTTTTACACTATTAAAAAGAACGACAATTTTGAGAAAAAAAAACAATGCTTTGACTTTTTGCTATAAAACATGTTCAGTAAAAAAAATTTTAAAAATCAAATTTTGTCAAATTTAGGCCAAAATGTATTCTGCTACATGTCTGCTAAAAAAAAAAATCCCAATACGTGTAAATTAACTGGTTTACATGAAAGTTATAGCATTTTTCAAATGGCGGTATATATACTGTAATTTTTTAATTTATTTTTTAATACTAGTAATGGCAGCGATCAGCGAGGTATAGCTAATAAAAAGCGTTGACACTGTACTAATGACACTGGGCAGGAAGGGGTTAACATCTGGGGCAATCAAAGGGTTAACTGTGTGCTTTACACTGTAAGCACACTGCTTTGTATGGCTCTGCTATGTGATGGTGGGGAATCACCAGCCGGGAACCTGTGATTGAGAGCGGAGGCTGCCAGTGGTGGCGCAGGTAGGGTAAATGCAAGATCGTGTGTGTATATATATATATATATATATATATATATATATATATATACGTGATTTTGCACACCCCTGCCGCCCTGTAGCAGTAATTCTACTATAGGGTGGCAGGAAAACGATTAAAGTGGTAGTAAAGTCTGTTTTTTAACTTGTACCTACAGGCCTTCCTGACCAGGCCATTTTTTCCATTACGGCGTTCCATTACTTTTTCAAATGAAATGTACGTCCTTTTTTCCCACAAATTGAGCTTTCTTTCAGGGGTATTCGGTCACCTGTGCATATTTTATTTTTTGCGCTATAAAAAAAAGACCAACAATTTTGAGAAAAAAAAAACAATATTATTTACTTTTTGCTACTAAATATGTCCAGTAAAAAAATGAAAAACAAAACTCAAATTTTGTCATAAATTTACACCAAAATGTATTCTGCTACATGTCTTTGCTAAAAAAAAATCCAGTACGTGTAAATGAATTGGTTTACGTGAAATTTATATCATTTGCAAATGGCGGTATATATACAGGGGGGGGTTTATTGAAATTCACATTGTAGGTGCATTCCCACTCTGAGAGACAGAATTAAAAAAAACAATTCAGGAAATCACATTGTATGATTTTTAAAGAATTTATTTGTCTTGCACTGCTGAACATACCGTATTTTTCGCTCCATAAGACGCACTTTTTTCCCCCAAAAAAAGGGGGGGAAAATGTCAGTGCGTCTTATGGAGCGAATATGGAGCGGCCGGTCTGGTATTTCCACCGCGGTCGTGTCAGAACACCGGGCCGGCCGCTCAGCTCTGCAGCGGGACCTTATGGAGATGACTGCTGACCTTTGGGGAGGTGGGGAGCGGGTACCTGAATTTGACAGGTACCCGCTCTTACTTCTTTGTTCTTTGATCTTACCTGTTCCTCTATCCAGCGGCGCGCTGTCTTCCCGGCTTCTGTAGTGTGGGCACTGGGCATGAGAGCCGGGTGCCAAGTGCCAAGTGCGCATGCGCAAGAAGCGGTGCTTTTTGTGAATGGTAAGGCGGTACCTGGGACACATGACAGATCCCAGAAGCCGCCGGACCAATCACAAAGCGCAAGTGCTTCTCGCTCATGCGCACTGGGCACCCGGCTGTCATGCCGCGTGCCATTACAGAAGCCGGGAAGACAGCGCGCGGCTGGATCGAGGAACAGGTAAGATCAAACAAAAACTCTGCAGAAGTAAGAGCGGGTACCTGTCAAATTCAGGTACCCGCTCCCCACCTCCCCAAAGGTCAGCAGTCATCTGTACTGTTCGCAGTCTCTGGTCATCCCTGTGCTGTCCGCAGTCTCTGGTCATCCCTGTGCTGTCCGCAGTCTCTGGTCATCCCTGTGCTGTCCGCAGTCTCTGGTCATCCCTGTGCTGTCCGCAGTCTCTGGTCATCCCTGTACTGTGTCTGCAGTCCATTAGTTCAGAATTTTTTTTTTCCTGTTTTCTGCCTCTAAAACCTAGGTGCGTCTTATGGAGCGAAAAATACGGTAAGTATTTGAACACCTGAGAAAATCAGTGTTAATATTTGGTACAGAAGCCTTTGTTTGCAATTACAGAGGTCAAACATTTCCTGTAGTTCTTGACCAGGTTTGCACACACTGCAACAGGGATTTTGGCCCACTCCTCCACACAGATCTCCTCTAGATCTGTCAGGTTTTGGGGCTGTCACTGAGCAACACAGAGTTTCAACTCCCTCCAAAGATGTTCTATTGGATTTAGGTCTGGAGACTGGCTAGGCCACTCCAGAACCTTCATATGCTTCTTACGGAGCCACTCCTTGGTTATCCTGGCTGTGTGCTTCGGGTCGTTGTCATGTTGGAAGACCCAGCCACGACCCATCTTCAATGCTCTGACTGAGGGAAAGAGGTTGTTGCTCAAAATCTCACAATAAATGGCCCCATTCATCCTCTCCTTAATACAGTGCAGTCGTCCTGTCCCCTTCGCAGAAAGGCACCCCCAAAGCATGATGTTACCACCTCCATGCTTCACAGTAGGGATGGTGTTCTTGGGATGCAACTCATCCTTCTTTTTCCTCCAAACACGACGAGTGAAGTTTAGACCAAAAAGTTCTACTTTGGTCTCATCTGACCACATGACTTTCTCCCATGCCTCCTCTGGATCATCCAGATGGTCATTGGCAAACTTCAGACGGGCCTGGACATGTGATGATTTGAGCAGGAGAACCTTCCGTGCAATGCATGATTTGAAACCAGGTCCTTTGAGAGCCAGAATTCTTGCTGTTTCTTAGGTGTTTAAATACTTATGTTCAGCAGTGCAAGACAAATAAATTCTTTAAAAATCATACAATGTGATTTCCTGAATTTTTTTTTAATTCTGTCTTTCAGAGTGGGAATGCACCTACAATGTGAATTTCAGACCCCTCCATGATTTCTAAGTGAGATAACTTGCAAAATCGCAGGGTATTCAAATACTTCTGTTCCTCACTGTATATATGTATATATATATATATATTTGTATATGATTTTGCACATCCATGCCGCCCTGTAGCAGTGCTTCTGCTATAGGGCGGAAGGGAAGCGGTTAAGGGGGAAGTGTTTTTTTTTTTCACCTCACTGATATTTGATAAACACTTATCAAATGCGCAGTAAACGCTGCAGGCATGTTGGCAAGCTTCAAACAGTATCAAACCCAAAATAAAAATTATTTTATTTCAGCTTACCAGTAATTAGATGTGGTGGCAGCATTTGTTCTCTTTGTCTTTTTTCCCTCTGTTTTAACCTGGTGATCTGGCCAGTAACACACCTCCAGTATTAGTGAGACACCACTTTTTGAGGAATGAGCACAGGGCACAACAAACAGCAGCATGGTCAATCGGGGGAAGGGGGTAATGGTAAATGTATTATCAGATTTGAATATAATAACAAATTGAAGCCAAACTCCAGTCACACTTTATATATTGTTACAGCAAAATGTTTTACCATTTGGGATAAAGGTTTTACATGAATAAATAAAAGCTGATCAATGTAAGCACTCCTGTCAGTGGTAAATGGATTGTCTCATCCATGTAAACTGATACTTTCTGCTGGATAGCTTGGACTTTTGAAAAACAGTAGAGTTGCTGGCTGAATCACCAGATGAAAACTGAAGAAAGAAAGCCTAAAAAAAGAAAATAATGCAGCCATCACATCTAAGAATTGGTAAGCTACAATAAAGTAAATGTTTGCTTTTGGGTTTAATACTGCTTTCACCTCCTTCCAGACATGTAGCTTCGTTTTTGCTGTACAGCAGCTTGAAGCAACGCAAACGCTACATGTTTTTTGAATGTGAACATCTCTGTCCACATTTTCCATTGTAGGCTGCTTTGCTAGGTGTTTGGGGAACTGTAGAGATGAGCCCCATATGCCTGCTTACATGCCTGTAATGGAGCATCAACTACTTACATTTAGGGCTCGTTCCAGGGGTGGACTGACAACTCATGGGGCCCCCAGGCAGTAGGGGATCATGGGGCCCCTGTGTCCTTGCCCAAACTCAAAAAAGCCTATGAAAAAGGTACCAGGGGCATCTCATGGGGCCCCCTACTGACCCCGGGCCCTCGGGCAGTGCCTGAGTTTCAAAATGGACAGTCCGGCCCTGGCTTGTTCACATGGGCTGCCAGGGGGTGGTAGAAGCAGATTGTTGAGCCCCCCCGACAACCCACCTAAACACAGCCGCTCAGGGCTGTACACATGCTTTGCTTGGTGGCCATGGCAAAACTTAACCACTTGCCCTCCAGAGGATTTACCCCCTTCCATGACCAGGCCATTTTTTGTGACATGGAGCTGCGTTACTTTAACTGACAATTGTGTGGTCATGCAACACTGCACCCAAATGAAATTTATGTCCTTTTTTTCCCACAAAAGGAGCTTTCTTTAGGTGGTATTTGATCACCTGTTTTTTGTTTTGTTTTTTTGCGCTATAAACAAAAAAAGACCGACAAATTTGAAAAAAAAGATTTTTTTTTTTACTTTTTGCTGTTAAACATGTCAAGTAAAAAATTTAAAAAAATCAAATTTCGTCATAAATTTAGGCCAAAATGTATTCTGCTACATGTCTTTGCTAAAAAAAAATCCCAATACATGTTAATTAATTGGTTTACATGACAGTTATATCGTCTGCAAATGGCGGTAAATATATTGGAATTTTAGTTTTTTTTTTAATACTAGTAATGGCGGCGATCAGCGACTTATAGCGGGACTGCGGCGGGCATTCTGACACTGGGGGGGGGGGAACTGACTGAAACTAACATCCCCAGTGACACTAATACAGTGATCAGTGCTAATAAAAAGCACTGACACTGTACTAATGACACTGGGCAGGAAAGGGTTACCATCTGGGGTGATCAAAGGATTAGCTGTGTGCTGTGTGTGTTTTACTGTGTGCTGTACTTTACTGTGTAAGCACGCTGCTTTGTATTGCTCTGCTATGTAGTGTGCAGGAGCTGACAGGGGAGAGATCTGTAATGTTTACATACAGACCTCTCCACCATCAGTGATACTCAGCGATCACCAGGTGCGGGCGGGACCCGGTTATTGACAGCTGAAGCCACCAATGGCGGTGCGGGTAGGACACGAATGCCCCCTACCCGGAAATACAAAATCACATATATATGTGATTTTGCGCAGCCTTGCAGCAGTAGTTCTGTTATAGGGCAGTAGGGAAGCGGTTAAGCAGCGTGTCACATTTGTCAGGTGGTACCACCGCCAAATACAACCCATTCCAGTGAATGGGATCATGTGACAATCACACTGCTACTGCGTGTAGTGCACCCCCACCCCTCCTACCCACCTCTGACCAATGGTTATACATTTTTAAAAACACCCCTATCTAAAAGCTCTTTTAGATGTAGCTGCAATCACCTGAGGCTTCGACCCTGAATCTTCTCCTTTTTTGTTTACTTCCTGGTTGAGTCTTTGTTTAGGTGTCTATATCAGTGCCTGCCTGACGTGGAAACTTCCTATTGGATGAGCTGTGAAGCTTAAAAAAAAGCCTAATTCCAGGAATGGACATTTTTGCATAGTTACATTGGTCCAGCATGTGTCAATGTAAGTATTCATGTGTCATATCTGTCTGTGAGATCCCTGTAGAAGCTGGAAATCACCGAAGTAGGCACCACTATTATTACAGTGATCACTGCTAGCTTCCAAGTCCTATGCCATGCTTGCTCTGCTCCTTAAAGTGGAACTCCACTCTCGCAATCAACATTGACTATTTTTAATCCTTATGCTGTTAGTATTAGTAAATAGATAGGAATGTATATCATAATTACTTGTTTTAAACTTTTGTTTACACTTCTTCAGTTACTTCCTCTGGCCTAGGCAAATGTTGTCATACATCCCAGGGGTCCTCAGGAGGGAAGGAGGAAGAAGGGGAGGAGGAGTCTTCTCAGCTAAGCACACCCTCCTGTTTGCATGCTTGAGCTAAGGGCACATGGATTCCAAGAAGTAAATGCTACATGAATCAGCCACCCTTACTCAAGATGGTACAGTCGAAAAAGCTAGAGGTGTGTTTTCCAAGGTGATTTCTCCATTAAATAAAGCATGGAGACATAGATGGATGGGTGAGTTTGCTCTGGATATTGAAAATTAGTTAAATAGCATTTTTGGTTTGTGATGCTCAGTTACATTTCCATTACACAGGAGATTGTTTGCTCTGCACATGTACCATTCAGAGAATATTTGCATTTTTCCAACGAAAGCAAAGTGTTTTCTGATTGGACATGGTGGACACATCATTGCCCCACCTCTACCCTCATCCAATCAGAGAACACTTTGCATTCATTGAGAAAATGCAAAGTATTCTCTGAATGGCACCTGTATCGAGCGTGCCACCTCCTGAATTCACTGTGCAGCAGGACAACCACTGGGCCCAGGCCTCAGAAGCAAGTAGAGATTACTGGAGTATCAGTGCCTACTACAGTGATTCTAGCTTCCACAGAGATCCCATGGGTATGGAACATGCATACTTACATTGATCCAAGCTGGACTAGAACTATGTAAAATAATCCATACTTGGAATTCAGCTTTAAAGAGGACCTTTCACTAAAGCTCTCTATGCTGTTATCAAATCATTCCACATTCATTAACATTTACAGGTGTACCTCGGTTTACGAATTTAATTTGTTCTCTGGGGCGTTTCGTATTGTGAAAAATTTGTAAACCGAAACGCTGTTTCCCATAGGAATGCATTGAAACCAATTATTCCGTTTCGGAGGTCAGAAAAAAGTAAAACAAAAGTCGCTGTCACTATAGGTCAGTGCCGGTTTTTAAACGTCATTACCAGCTTTTTTTTTTTTTTTCTTCACTATAGCTCAGAGAATCAGCTGTCACTTTCCCCCC